AAACCCTAATAAACCCTAATAAACCCTAATAAACCCTAATAAACCCTAATAAACCCTAATAAACCCTAGCAAACCCTAATAAACCCTAGCAAACCCTAATAAACCCTAGTAAACCCTAGTAAACCCTAATAAACCCTAATAAACCCTAATAAACCCTAATAAACCCTAATAAACCCTAGTAAACCCTAATAAACCCAAATAAACCCTAATAAACCCTAATAAACCCCAGTAATGCTAGTAAACCGTAGTAAACCCTCATAAACCCTAACAAACCCTAATAAACCATAATAAGCATTCATAAGCCCTAGTGAACCCTAAAAACCCCTTATGAGCCTTCATAAACCCTACTAAACCCTAGTAAAACCCTAATAAACCCTAATTAACCCTCACAGTTGTGTATCTGCTTGTATTTGGGTTTGTTTGTGGCTGTCTCCTCTTCTCTTTCTGTCTCTTTATCTGTTTTCGTCTCTTTGTCTTGTCGTTTGCCTTTATCTTTGTTTGTTTAGGGTTTAGGGTTTAGGGTTGTTTATCATTTTTATTTTCGTTTATTATCTATTTTTTCTTCTTTGTTTTCTGTGGTGATGAATTTTGGTTTTATTATTTGCTGCTTTTTATTTGTTTTTGTTTGTTGATTGTTATTTCTTACTTCCTATCTTTTGTTTTTTATTTTTTTTTAATTTTTATTTGTTTATTTGTTTATTTGTTTATTTTTTATTTTTGTTTTTTATTTTTTTTTAATTTTTATTTGTTTATTTGTTTATTTGTTTATTTTTTATTTCTTACTTTGTACTCATTTATTTATTTTCAACATCATCTTATTTTCATTATTTATTATTATTTATTTATTATTAATTATTTTTTTGTTGTTTATTTATTATTTCCTGTCTTTTGTCGTGTTTGTAGTATTTGATTTGTTATATGTTATTTGTTTGATTATATTATTTTCTGTCTTCTTCTTTTATTTCTTTTTTAATCTATTTATTTTTTATCTTTTTCTCTTTTTTATTGTTTGTTTTGCTTCAGGTGGAGGAGGCCAGCAGCTGGAGTTGGTGCAGCAGCAGCAGCAGCAGCAGCTGCAGCAGCTAACAACAACAATTCGCTCAGACCTCTCTTCTCTTTATCGGCTTGCTGTCTCTGCATTAGCAATCCAAACCCTCCACAACCGTGACGTTCTCCAAACCCTAATTCAGCAACGCATCACAAACCCTGACGCGTCAGCTACCTTCCTTCTTCATAGGGTTTAGGGTTTAGGGTTTAGGGTTTAGGGTGTAGAGCTTTCGAAGCTTATGCCTGAGGCTTCGCTGTAGACAGCTCTTGAATCGACGTGTTATGGTTTGGGGCTTAATATATTATGAGCTAGGGTTTAGGGTTTAGGGTTTAGGGTTTAGGTTCGAAAACAGTCTTGCATGAAGTTGCGTGTGTCTCAGTTGAGCAGAATGCGTGTGCTTCCCTCCTCCCAGGGTTTAGGGTTTAGGGTTTAGGGTTTAGGGTTTTGATTCAGGTTCGACTGGCAGAAGCAGCTGCGCCACTACTGGGATGAAGAAAGCGACAGCACTTTAATTTTTCAGCTGTCTTCGCAGTTTGAATATGCAAATGAATATTTGGGGGCCCCCGAGCGTCTTGTTATTACTCCTCTTACAAACCGCTGCTGGCTTACTATCACCAGTACGTAAACCCTAAACCCTAAACCCTAAACCCTCGTACAGGTTGCTGAGGGTTCACCATCATCAGTACACAAACCCTAAACCCTAAACCATAAACCCTTGCAACCGATAGTTGCTGGTTACAAACCCCAAACACTAAACCCTAAAACCAAAACCCTACCCGTAAACCCTAAACCCTAAGCAAGTGTGCATGCGTGTGCTCTGTCTTTAGCTGCATTAAAAGAGTTATATTTAAACAGCAGCATCGCGGGTCCAGCAGGATCAGGGAAGACAGAGACAGTGAAGGAGCTGGCGAAAGTTTTAGGGTTTTTTTGTGTTGTTTTAAATTGTTCTGAAGCTGTAGACTTGTATGTTTTAGATAAAGTATTTGCAGGTGCGGCTTCATATCATATTATATTTTAATTCTACAATTCAAACATTCATAACATATATATAATATATATCATACAATAGCATAGATATATATGTATATATATTATATATATCTGTATATCTATATATATATATATACACCTATATATATATATGCTATTGGGCCTGGAAACCAAATGTAGGGTTTAGGGTTTAGGGTTTAGGGTTTAGGCTGTCCTGTGAAATGCATATAGTTTATTGTTGATTAGGGTTTACTGTTGAGTGTTTAATAGTATATTGCCTACCTTTAGCTTTTTCCTGTCTACCACTAAGGGCTTAGGGTTTAGCGTTTAGGGTTTAGGGTTTAGGGTTTAGGGTTTAGGGTTTGCGTTGCAGGGGTTTTGGCTAGCGGTGCGTGGGCCTGTCTTGATGAATTCAATCGGCTCGATTTGGAGGTTTTGTCTGTCGTATCTCAGCAACTGCTGCGGATGCGACATTTTCTATTAACTGCAAATAATGAAAATAAACACGAACAAAACCTTGCTGATAAAAACCATGTACATACACACCTAGGGTTTAGGGTTTAGGGTTTAGGGTTTACGGTCTAGCGTTGATTGTTTAGTGGCTTTTGTTTCGTGTTTCGCGTTTCTTGTTGTGTGTTGCTTATTGTTCATTGGCTATTGTTTTATTAGTAATCTTATAGGGTTTAGGGTTTAGGGTTTAGGGTTTAGGGTTTAGGGTTTATTGGATGTATACACTGCAATGGTTTATAGTTTCCAGCAGCAAATTATAAAGCAGCTGGTCCTAAACGCATGCAATTAAGGATGCATGTGTGTTGCTGCTGCATGGTTTGCTGCTTCTGCTGCTGCTTGTGCTGCTGCTGCTGCTGCTTATTTTGGTGTTTCTGTTGCTGCTTGCTCTGCTGCTGCTGCTGCTGCATTCTTGTTTGCCGCTGCTGCTTCTCCGTGTATATCCGTTGCTCTCGTTTGTGTTGCTGCTGCTGCTTGTGCTGCTACTGCTTTTACTGCTGCTGCTTCTGCATGTGCTGCCGCTGCTGCTGCTTGTGCTGCTGCTTGTGTTGCTGCTGCTGCTGCTGCTGGTGCTGCTGCTGGTGCAGGGTGTGGGGTCTTCTTCTTCGCCGTGCTGCGGTGTCTTTGCAACTCTAAACCCTAATTATGGAGGCCGAGCGGAGCTTCCGCAGAATCTGCAGAGTTTGTTCAGACCTGTGGCGATGATTGCCCCTAACATTAACACCATATCAGAAATAACTATCTTCTCCCAAGGGTTTAGAGACTCCAAAACCCTAGCCAACAAATTCGTCAAGTTCTTCAAACTATGTTCTCAACAGGCAAAACCCTAAACCCTAAACCCTAAACCCTAAACTATAAACCATAAACCCTAAACCCTAAAAGCGTATTGGTGGAACTTCAAACACCCATTTTTCCTCCCATATAACAACCACCGTGGATATGGCTCGAGCCACTTAGGCTTTAGGGTTTCATAGGGTTTAGGGTTTAGGGTTTAGGGTTTAGGGTTTGCGGAAGTGGTTTGCAGCTGTCGCCTCAAGTCCACTACGACTTTGGGCTTAGAGCAGCCAAAGCGGCGCTGCTGAGGGCAGGAGAATTGAGAAGAGAAAACCCCAACAAATCCGAAGAAGCAGCGCTAGCTCAGGCCATCAGGTTAGGGTTTAGGGTTTAGGGTTTAGGGTTTAGATGCAGAGCTGCGTGTGAGTGGGACGACGACATATACATATATATATATATATATTAGGCTCCCTAGAAGTATATATATATATATAGGGAGCGTGGCACTATAGGGTTCACGATCAATGGTTTAGGGATTAGGGTTTAGGGTTTGTTTAATTAAATTATTGTTTGTTCTTCTGTTTAGAGACTCAAATGAACCCAAATTCACAGCAGAAGACAAACCTATCTTCCAGGCTCTTCTGCACGACTTCTTCCCTCAACTCGACGAAGAATCAGACAAAGACTCAGCACTTGAACAATCTATTAGCGAATCTATGAAGGCTCTAGAGTAGGGTTTAGGGTTTAGGGGTGAGGGTTTAGGGTTTAGGGTTTAAGGGTTTAGGGTTTAGGGGTGAGGGTTTAGGGTTTAGGGGTGAGGGGTAGGGTGTACGGGTTTCACCCGTTGGTTTGAACTTCTAGTGCGTAGTAGAATGTAGGTAAACCCTGCCTCTAGGGTTTAGGGTTTAGGGTTTAGGGCTAATAAGGGTTTGGGGTTATTTCAAGTTTAGGTTTTAGAAGGGTTGATTGTTTTTTTTTCGTGTAGGGTAATAACGTGTAAACGGTAATTATTGAGGGTTTAAAGCAATTATAGAGGGTTTAGAGTAGTTAAAAAGGGTTTAGGGTTTAGGGTTTAGGGTTTGTTTGTGTGTACAGTTTAGTGCCGCATGCGGAGGGGGTTCAGTTGGGTGTTTATTTGAGACAGCTGTTAGAATCTCGAAGAGGTATTATTGTTTTAGGTGCAGCAGGAAGCGGGAAGAGCAGCACAATTGCTGCTGTTGTTCATTCACTGTCTGATGCTGCTGCTGCTGCTGCTGCTGAAGAAGCAGAGGCGGAAGCAGAGACCACCTCAACGCTCATCAGCACTAACACCAACCCAGACAGGAGAAGAAGAAGCAGCAACAGCAACAACTGCAGCAGCAGCAGCAGCAGCAGCAGCACCAGCAGCAGCGATATTCCAACGGGAGCCGACCCCACAGACGATCCCGACGAGGAGACGGGAGGGGAGACCGATGGTGGGACCCCCCGTGACCGCAGCAGCAGCAGCAGCAGCAGCAGCAGCAGCAGCAGCAGCAGCAGCAACGGCATGGAATTTGCTGCTGCTGCTGCTGCTGCTGCTGCTGTGCAGTGTCGTACACTCAATCCAAAGGCTGTAAAACACTCCGAGCTGCTAGGGGTTTTAAATGAATCTACAAGAGACTGGGAAGACGGGGTTTGTAGTTTTATTATTCGTCAGTTTGCTGCAGCAGAAACAAACCCTAAAAAACAAATTCTTATCTTCGATGGACCCATTGACAGCCTTTGGGTGGAGTCATTCAATACTGTACTCGATGATAACCAAATGCTATGCCTACCCAATGGTAAACCCTAAACCCTAAACCCTGAACCCTAAACCCTAAACCCTAAACCCTAAACCCTAAATCCTAAACCCTAAACCCTAGACCCTTAATTCTAAAACCCTAAACCCTAAATCCTAAACCCTAAACCCTATGCCGTAAATTCAAAACTCTAGGCAGTATATCCTAAGTTTTGAATTCTCAAGCCTGAACATTCCTATACACAAAACCCTAAACCCTTAATTCTAAAACCCTAAACCCTAGATCCCAAAACCCTAAACCCTAGATCCCAAAACCCTAAACCCTAGATCCCAAAACCCTAAACCCTAAACCCTAAACCCTTGTTGCGTAGTTCCTAGGGTTTAGGGTTGCTGCCCCGGGTACTGTTTGCACTGAAAGCCGCCTACAGCACTCCCCTTAATTACTTTGGGCTACTGTTCAGGGTTTAGGGTTTAGGGTTTAGGGTTTGCGTATGAGTTTAATACTTGTTATAGGAAAGATTGTAGGATGTGTATTTTTGTGAAGGTGCGACATTTTTTGAGGGTGTTTTAGGGTTTAGGGTTTAGGGTTTAGGGTTTGCGAGGGTTTAGGGTTTGTGCAGGCGAGCGCATTCGCCTTACCCCTTCTATTCGTCTTCTCTTTGAAGTCTCAGACTTAGCAGCAGCATCACCCGCAACTGTTAGTAGATGTGGGATGCTGTTTGTCTCTCCTCAAGCTCTTAACTGGAAAGTTATTATGCAAGCATATCTAGCAAGGTATACCCCTGCTGCTGCTGCTGCTGCTGCTCGTGCTAGTGCTGCTGCTGCTGCTGCTCGTGCTGCTGCCGCTCGTGCGAGTGCTAGTGCTGCTGCTGCTCGTCCTGTTATTTGTACTGCTGCTGCGCATGTTAGTGCTGCTGCTGCTGCTCCTGCTGGCCGTGCTGGTGCTGCTGCTGCTGCTCGTGCTGCT